ATTTGACGTATGCGCTTTTGGTGTGTCTCCGAGACCCCGGCACATTTGGGTCAGATAGCATAAAAGTATGGTCGATGCCGGTCACTCTTAGACTAATACTCAAAATGGCTCTAGGAACTTCAGAAAGAATTCAGTCGCTGAAGTGAAACGGTCCGCGAGAGCATTTAGATGCATTCAAAACCTCGCCTACGATGTTCGAAATGATTTTCTTGTTACATGTGCACTTATGTGTAACGACCGCCAGGGTATCAGAGAGCGAAAGCGGCATGCCGTCACGAACTCACATATCGTGACGCAAATGCAAGAAACAACGCCATCTACGACGAGTTAGATGCTTCCCTAGAATACACACCGTTCTGACATAGATGGTACAACTTTCACGAACGCAAGTTATTACACGATATGCAAATAGTTATATAATTTGCGTTACGTGTGCGCTCTGGTGAGTAGGTACATTTCATTTTCGTGACATGCTCTATATCTAGAACCCAGCCCAAAGAATTATATTAATAAAATCACTTCGATTCAAACACATGTTGCATTTATATTGTTGTTGTTTTTTTATACTTTTATATTTCCATAGTTACATGTAAAAGAGGAACAGAAACAATAACTAGTTAGTTAAATTACACCATTACTGAGTCTAACAACAATATATCACACCTTTCCCCTAACACATGCATACGGGCCCCGAAAGTGAAGCCATTAACCTAAACTTAGTTAAATTATAATACATTCATTTTTCATATATATTAATTCCCCACCGACAACGCCTGGTGGTACCCACTTACAGACGGGAAAACGTCACAAGACGCAGTTATACACCTTAAAATTGAAAAAAACAGATACACAGAATTTTTAAAAATCGACAAAGAATTATTAAAAATGACCCAGAGCTTTTATTAAAAGTTTTGCTACACGCAATAAAACCATTCTTGATAGTATTCACTCTGTTACGATGGACATGCAAAGGCGATGTTTAACGAGTGATACATAAGGTCGTGATTCAAGTCATTAAATAAAATTCTAAAACATCTTATATTCAATTCAATTTAACTTAAACTTGAATTTAAAGTTAAACGAAGGTACATGTAGGTATACTGTATGTCAACCAAAACCTCAAGCCATGCATGTTTTTTAGCATTGTAATTTGAATATTAATTTAGTTCAACAATAGAACTAACACAAATAATAATCCAAAATGCATGCTTTTAGAAATGTTGCTAAGGATGTCTATGCCCGTTCTGTTTTGGAGTTTCGAAAGTGCCTTGAAGAAAACCTCCTACTCTGGCAACTAACAAGCCAATCAGGGGACACATTACATAACGGGAACTCAGACTGTATGACAACCAATCATATTAACGTCTAAAAAACCTCCTCCTATTGGTCAAGATACTGTTCAAACCATGCTACAAGAATACAACGTTTCAAACTTAGGTGTGTACAGTCAATCCAGCGTGGTGTATGTCATATAATAAGCAAACAAAGAAAATGCCTTTGTCTTTAATTTGTTGTTAAAACATATCATGTTTACCTTTTGGATAGTAAAAAAGGATAAAAGGGCTACTTCATATACTTTACAAATGCAGTACTTATACACTGTTCAACATTTTTACCAATTATAAAGAGCGGATTCCGTGTAAAACGCCCTCTAGAGAAAGTCTTTCGACACGTACACCAAATCAGATACACTAAAAAATACATGTCTTTGACCAATTGCAGAAAAGAAAAACTATCTTGTTTTTTTTTTAAATAGACACGACCGAGAAAAAACAAATGTTTCTCAGCGGTGTTATTGTTGAAAAAAAAGGTGTATATGCGAGTATGAGAAAATGACAACCGTTTGTTCGACGTCACGGACGTTCTACGTTGCTAAGACGCGCACCACTGTACCATGTATTTCTATGGGCTTTGTGCGCTCTGCTGTGGAACGCCGGTGGAGCCGGTGAAAACTCGAGAAAACAACACAAACTCAACTTTGAAGTAATCCTGAACAACCAAATTCATATATGTTACACACGTAGGGCTTATCTTATTACACTGTTCAGGGGACTCTCAACAACCATCGCAAAGTACCGTTTTCTGCGAGTTTTTGGTCTTTGTTTTCACCGCGAGGGTTGCCAGGCGGTAGAAAATGCCCGGATGTCCGCCCCGAGGATATGTGCTATCTCCAACGGGAGAGGGCGCTGTATAAACAAACTATGAAGCTCGAGCTTGGTCAACCTACATGTTGTATCGTATTTGGTAAAAACACTTCGGCGAGTATTGTAATATTTATAACAATGCTTGTATTTCAAATTGTAAGTAATTCCTATTTCAAACGTGTACATTTATATGCTAAAAAGTTAAATTTATATTCGAAAAAACGCTTATTCAAATTTTAAACATTGCACACTTCGACACAGAGGGCGATCGTGTATTGATATACATGTACGTGAGTTTTTATAAATATTTTCTGCTCGGGTGAAAGGGCAGCCATATTAAAATCCGCGTTTTAGTCGAGACCCAGTTTACGACCAAAATAAAGATGAGAATCACGAGTTGTTAAATAGCCATGCAACTAAAAAGTTGTGATCCTTGTAAATACAGGAAATCGGATTGTTGTTCCAGTTACTCCGTTCTGTAAACGACACGCTGAATAGCGATGGTATCAGATCATTCTAAATTCTCTTTTGCCACCACGGACTGTGTTAGATTCATTAAGCTTTCTTATTAGTACAACGATCATTCCTTAGTTGTTTGGCAATGAATAAATGGGATTTTCATCTTTATATTGGTCCCGGCTATGGGTGCGTTCAAAGTTCTTTCATCTTATTTACGTGCACAGAACCTCGCCAGTTGACCATGTTCAACAATCCCGGGTGAGCACAGTTGAATCGAAACACTTTTACAAGAAAAGATTTGATTTGTTGATAGCACCTGTTTGGGCGTCAGGGTTGTCAGGCATAATTTGGTTGACATCATCAGATAACTCATCCGAGTCCCTGCAGTAACCATTCTTGTGATAGTGCAATCTAAATAGTCCACGCCTGCAAATGTGTGCCGGTAAAAACGTACACACCGCTCAGAATTCATAAATGGAGAATGGATCTGTTTACTTTTCTTGATTTATTCTACTAATATTTGTAAAGTGAAGGTAAAGCGTTGGTGAAGTTTGAAAGAGCAATTTATATTCTCCAAACTGGTATTTTTCATAAATTAAATTTGACTTTCCTCAGGCTTTATTACTTTTACATCAGTTTTTCGATTGCTTTTTTAGCTCGTAATGATAGAATTATCCAATTTATAACTATTATGTTGGCTTTCGGAAAGTTTCTGGCACTGTGAAAACCATGCTAATAAGACGTTTTTTTTTTCAGCCAATCGTGTCATGCAAACTTTGGTTCATTTGCTTCGCAGTGGCGGTAGGCAGACGAGTCTTCAAACGGTTCTCCCGTTACATGTACCTGTTCTGATTTAGCGGTCCCATGCGGCTACAGCAATGATTACTCCTTGGGCTATAACACCACTACTGTCACCGCTGCCATTATATATTTGGTCAGCAATAATAAACATTGCGAGATCGTCGTCCTTAAACAATATGTCCTAGGTCATATGGTTAAGGAACATTTTCAAAATTCATAGCTCACACAAAATGTCAAAAGTTTTCAAAAATGAGATCCCGTGGTTGAAATTTGTTAAAAGACCAGATCTATAGTGAGCATTTTTTAAAAAAGTTGAGTGGTTATTCAGAGATAGAGCAGGCTCATTAGTACAATAGACCAACACATGATAATCAGTAATCAATTTAAGAGTCGAGTTTATAAGTTAAATTATTTATAAAATAGGTCAAATGTACGGTATGTCCAGCAGATAAACAAAGTGGTACCCATAAAATAAACAAATGGCCGAAAAGTACACCTCTAAAATATTTAAAGCGGGAGGG